CTCTGCTAAACCCACAGAATCTCCATCAAGGGGAGGCCAGCGGGCCACCCGGGTCAGTCTCTGGAATGACCTAGGCATCTGTCGGGTTGCAGGTAAAGGAGCAGCGGAATGTCATAAGAGGGCTATGCCGACCCCATCACGAACGATGGACCCGGATTCCACTCGATCATACTCGTTAGCGAGCTCACCGAGCGCGTCACTCAAGCCCGAGCGATCGAGGCAAGCGACAAAGCTTAGCCCCTCCGGTTGGGAGAAACCGAGGACGGGGTAACACACAAAACTCAAAACCGACCCCTACCAAGACCAACGGGGCTTAGGGGCTCAAGACACCTAAACTAAATTGCCTCCGTTGCGCGGGCTGAACTGATGCAAGGATCCGCGAGCTCCGTCTCGCTCGATCCCTAAACTAACTGCCTTGGCTGCGTGGGCTGCACCAACGCCAAGATCCGTGAGTTTCGTCTCGCCCGATCCCTAAACTAACTGCCTCGGCTACGCGGGCTGCACCGACGCCAGGATCTGCGAGCTCCGCCTCGCCCGATCCCCTAAACTAACTGCCTCAGCTACGCGGGCTGCACCGACGCTAAGATCCGCGAGCTCCGTCTTGCCCGATCCTTAAACTAACTGCCTCGGCTGCGTGGGCTGCATCGACACCAGGATCCGCGAGCTCCGCCTCGCCCGATCGCTAAACTAACTGCCTCGGCTGTGCGGGCTGCACCGACGCTAGGATTTGCGAGCTCCGCCTCGCCCGATCCCTAAACTAACTGCCTCGGCTGCGCGGGCTGCACCGACGCCAGGATCCACGAGCTCCGTCTCGTCCGATCCCTAAACTAACTGACTCGGTTGCGCGGGCTGCATCGACTCAAATACACGCACACACGCCCGCTGACAAACCCCCCCCAAACGATTCAGCCCGAATCACCCTGGGGCTACACCCGCGGGTGCGCTCGCGCGCACCCGCTGACAAAAAAACCCACTAAATGATTCGGCCTGAATCGCTCGGGGGCTCGGGGGCTACACCCGTGGGTGCGCTCACGCGCACCCGCTGACAAAACGAAACGACCCCCGCTGGCAACAGGGAAAACCCCCCAGACGATTCTACCTAAATCGCCCGAGGGCTCGGGGGCTACACCTAGGGGTGCGCTTGCGCGCACCCGCCGTCAAGACAAAAATCCCCAGACGATTCTACCCGAATCACCCGGGGGCTCCTGTCGGGTTCATAAACCCGGGGTCCCTTACGGACCGGCTTCCCAACGAAAGGCTCAGCCCAGCAGACAACGTTGTGAACCAACGCGCAACTCTTGGACCGGCCCAAGTACCTAAACGACAGGCCAGGAGGGCGATCCAATCTCTGACCAGAAGGCCTAGCCGAGGGGGAACGGCTGAAAGCTCTAGTTTAGTTTTGGTAAATTGATGAAACCCTAAGTGATAACCTAGTTCATCAAGTGATCATGAGATAGGTAGCACACTTCAAGTAAAGAAGCAAATGAAGATCATAACATGACAATGGTGGTAGCATGGAGATGATCAAGGGCTTAAACTTGAAGAGAAGAAAGAGAAAAACAAAAAGCTCAAGGCAAAGGTATAACTTGTAGGAGCTATTTTATTTTGGTGATCAAGACACTTAGAGAGTGTGATCACATTTAGGTTTGATAGTCGTACTATTAAGAGGGGTGAAACTCGTATCGGAATGCGGTTATCAAAGTGCCACTAGATGCTCTAACTCATTGCATATGCATTTAGGATCTAGTGGAGTGCTAACACCCTTGATAATATTTGTGTAAATATGCTACCACATGTGCACAAGGTGTTTGTAGGGTTGAGATGGGTTTGGGTTCCACGCTTTCGGGAAAATGAAATGTCTATTTTCTATTACGCCGGATGCAAAATTCTTGGTGGTTGGCACACTTGAGCAAGGGTGAAGAAGTAAGAGTTGAAATGGAGTTGATCAAAATGATGTCAAGCGTCGGTCTCATCGACCGGACATCGGGTCACTCAAATGACCGGACGCTGAAAGGCTCGTCCGGTCCGAGTTGTCGAGAGTTGTCGACGCACGATGCTAAGGTTGAGCACCGGACGCCGGCGCGTCCGGTCAAGTGGGACTGGACGCCGTCCGTCCGAAAAAACATGCCTCGGGGAGCTTCTTTGAAACGACCGGAACGCCGGGTCTTCAGCGTCCGGTCCGATTTTATCGAGCGTCCGGTCAGCTTTCCAGCACCGCTGAAATCGATTTAACAGCGTTTGAAGTCGGTGACGCGTGGCGTCCATCGGGCGACCGGACGCCGAGGCCAGCGTCCGGTCAAGATGACCGAGCGTCGTCCGGTCGAGCGCTGCTTTTGCCCAGTGAAGGGGTATAACGGCTCTATTTGATTGGGGCTCTATTTATAGCCCCATGGCCGGCTCAAGGGAGTACTCTTGCACATTTTCATTGACATAGCAACCTTGTGAGCCTAGCTAAAGGACTCCCACTCATCTACATCATTGACTCATCATCATAATGAGATTGGGAGTGATCCAAGTGCATTGCTTGAGTGATTGCATCTAGAGGCACTTAGTGATCGTGTTTCGCTGCGGATTTCGCTTGTTACTCTTGGTGGTTGCCGCCACCTAGACGGCTTGTAGCAAAGAAGGATCGTTGAGTGGAGGAGGTGATTGTCTCCGACTCCGATCGTGGTGATTGTGAGGGGTTCTTGACCTTTCCCCGGCGGAGCGCCAAAAGGTACTCTAGTAAATTGCTTGTGGCTTGTGTGATCCTCATCTTGTGTTGGTTGTGCGGCACCCTATTGAGGGTTTGGCGAGTGATGCCAATCAGTAGTGAACCTCCAAGTGAGTGAATCGCCATACGACGAGGACTAGCTTGCCAACAAAGCAAGTGAACCTCGGTAAAAATCATTGTGTTCATCATTTGACTCCGAGGTGATTGGTCTACATTGGTATTTATTATTGTGATTGATTGGTTCCTACCACTACACGGCGGTATAACTCTCTTGCTCACTCTTACATTACCGCAAACTATTTATCAAGCTCTTTAGTGTAGCTAGTTGTGAGAGCTTGTTTGTTTGATTAGTGTTGCTCTTTAGTTAGTCTTTGAGAGCACACTAATTTAGCTAAGTGTCATAGCTATTGTGTGGACATACACTATTCAAAATAGAATTGAGGTAGGTGGCTTGCATTTTAGTAGGCTAGCGCAACACTCGCTTCGCCGCAAAATTGTCTAACACATTTTGTTAAGTGTTGTTGTAGAATTTTATTAGGCTATTCATCCCCCCTCTAGCCATTAGGACCTTTCAACGGCGCCTGCTTTTGACTCCGGCCCACCCCTCCGACCGGAGCGCTCGCTTCGGCCTCTAGCCCGCCTCCGGAAGGCCTCTCCGACCGGAGGGCCTGGCCAAAACACCACTTTCGACTCCGACCCACTTCTCCGACCGGGAACACGCCGAACTCCTGCTTACTGTTCTTCTTCGACTGACGCAATCAGAGCCGACTGGGACCAACCAACCGGGGGCGTCCGCTCTGTACGGACCAGGAAACAGATAGAGAAAAGTAAGGCAGGGCGCACAAGTCAAACCGTAATACTAGGGACCGTACCCTGCGACCCTCCTGGCACGACAGAACCCAAGCAGTATTATAGGCACCAATATTTTCTCCTACAATGTTGTGGGAGCCATCAACTCCCATACCAGACAAATATGGTAAGGCTCCCCCACGTGCCTCTAGGGCATCAACAACGTTGTGGGCGCCGGTATTTACCGTACCAGGCGAACATGGTAAGACCCCTTGTATGCCTCTGGATATCAACAGTGTGGCAGGCACTGACATCTGTCATACCTAAAGAAGATGACGCAACTTTCCACGTGCATCTGACACTAAACAGTATTGTGGGCGTCTACCATCATCTTGTACCCGCCGGCGTGGGCAACAAGACTTAGTAGCATACGTACTCTCTCCCTCTCACTTGTATTCATCTATAAAAGGGGATGCGCTCTCTCCCAAATTGACTCGGTTCGATAGAGATCGATCAGTTTACTAGTACACATCAACAGAACCACCAGGTTCGAACCACAAGCACACGCTCGAACACTTAACATATAGCGGGCTCCTGTCAATCTCGGCCCTTTGTACTAGAGTCCGACCGGACCTCTTGTACCCCAATCTTTCTCCCTTCCGTTTGTAACCCCACAACAAACTTCGAGCACCTGAACTCAGGAATAAAGTCACCGACCGACTCAAACTAGACGTAGGGCACGTTACCTGAACCAATATAAATCCTATGTCATTGAGTGTTAAGCCACCTCCGATCACAACGTACGACAAAACTATAAATATTTACGTGTTGGTCACTTTCTGCACCGACACATTTAAAGTCCTTAGGTGGTTCCAGTGGACACACATCTTCCATGACATACTCCTCCAGTCTATGCACCTCACAAGACAGGCCCAACCTGATCATAGCTAAATCCTAGTCTGTCCTAGAATTAGCCCGACAACCCAACGCCCCTGCAAGTGCCCGAAAATGGAAAGAGTAGCGCACGCACAGGCAGAAGATCAGGAGTGAAAAGGATGAGTGCAATGCTCAGGGTGAGGGAACAGAAAGTAGCAGTGAAGGGCGTGCGAAAGATTGGATACCAATCGCACAGACAAATGTGTGATGTTCCCATGATCAATTGCTCATCGTCCAAACGATATCCTGCAACATTAGACTTAACTGGCTCTGGCTGTTTGCCTGCGCAGCACACAGCTGCACCCAGAAAGAGTGCCGGGGTAGTTCTTAAGATAATGCAAATCGAATAGACTAAATCCCTCTCGAAATATACAATCAGCTGGAACATTAAATGTTTCCGAGGACAAGTAAAACGGAAGAAGAGGACCCAGATTAAGAAACAGGCGTTTCACTTCTTTCAACACAAACAAGCACTGCGTCAACTAATGCAATTGACATCAACTTAAGAGAAGTACGGGTCATCTAACCACATGACTGATACCGCAGCCAACAGATCACAACACTACTGGGGGGCGGCTAATGCCTTGGGCTTTGGCTTCACCTCGACTTCATTCACTGTTCGGATAAATATTGCATCAGGCTCATGCCTGAAATGCACAAGAACACTGGTGAGTAAACATTTTTTTTTTCTTAATCTTGTGTGAACAGAGATTTGTCACACAAAGTAGTTCAGTATTATTCAGTATTACGTTTTTTCTCCCTCTTCGTAAGTGTAGCTGGATGCCACAGCAAGCAGATGGCCATCCTTACTGAATGACAGAGCAGCGATGCTTGATGCGTACTTTGAGTACTGCAACCAAAAGTAGGGAAATCATGAATACAAGAAACGTTTCGGACAGTAGCATCCCAATGAAGCAAAACTCTTCACTTGGTTTACCTGATATAGTCTTTTCTTGTTAATGCCATCCCATACATTCACAAATCCATCACACCCTCCGGTGGCAAATGTTCCATATCTGCACAAGGACGAGAAAATGAGAACTAATAATCCAATGAGATATCAAACTAGCAAGAAATTGGAACATCAAGGCTTTACATGGGATGGAAAGCAATTGCATTGACAGGATAAACGGTGTCCCTGCCAGCTTCAGATTTCCGGTGACACTTGAAAGCATACCTGCACGAAAAATTGCCCTAGATCATTGCCACTAGAGATGCAAGAGGGTACCAATTGTATTTTGTGGCTCAGCTAGTTTAGTTCATTGCCCCCTTTAAACTAATTTAAATTAATTGCTTTAGCATGCTACTCTAGTTCATTTTGACAAGTTTTGCACGACGGTCGACACAATGACCCTAAACAAGTGGAACGGAACATACATCCCTAGGCACTACTGTTCAGTCTAGGTTTCCAGAAGAAGGTAAGTGTACAGTAGCATCATTTCACTACTTTTAGTAACACAAAACAGGTAGTTTGTACTTGGTACATATGCAGTGCAATCTGTAACTGTAACCAGGCACAATCATACAATCAAATTTAGTTTAGGAAACAACTAGAAAATGCCAGGAAAAAAACCTCAATTTACTTCCTAAGTGATACTCTCTTTTGAGAGATAAGAAAAACACAAATTTCTAAAAAGACTCAAAATAACAGGAAAAAGAAATAACAAGGTTACTGTTTGCAGGCAATTTTGTTTTCATTGTTCTAACAGCTTTTGAGTTTGAATTGGCATTATAAAATGTTGGTACAGACACTACATAGACTGCCCCAATCTTTGTTTGAATTTGAATAACATAAACAATTGACCTGCATTACAACTGAAGTGTCAGCATGTTTGCATGTAAGTCGATCACAGATTGCTATAAGCTTCAAAAAATATAAAAAAAGGACGTACCCAGTGCAGAGAGCTCCCGCTCTGTGCGGGGTCTGGGGAAGGGTGTCAGTGGCAAGCCTTACCCTCGCCTGTGCAATGCGAGGAGACCGCGACTCGAACCCAGGACCTTCCAGTCACAGGAGGTAAGACTCTACTGCTTACACCAGGCCCGCCCTTCAAGCTTCAAAAAATATATATGGGGAATTGTGAAAGTGTGTTTGCAAATGAAGTTTCACTATCCATTGTTTCAATTGATGATACAGGAACCACATGTACAGTTCAGTCATAGTATTGAGCAATTATAAGACGTCAGACATGCACCCATCTTTTGGCAGCTAAGGTGCAGAAAACATACTTTTTAGACTGAGCAGACTCGGATAGATCAAAGAATTCCATGGAAACTCGCCCTTCAACAGAACTTAGAGCATATCCTGAAGCAAGACACAGAAGACTGAGATCAGCATACAACATGCATATTTGGTTTATATACATCATACTATAATTTGAAAAGTAAATAAACAATATTGAACAATAAATGTACCAAATACAGGCAGCTTGAACAGAATACTATACGTCTATAATTATTAAGAAAAGGACAGACCAGTCGTCCAACCTGGAAAAACTAAAACTGAAAGCTGACCAGTATGCCCGCACCATACTACCTGGACCACTACAGAGCAGCTAACAGCAATCAAACTGTAGTTGAATAAGCAGGTTTCCTGTAAACAGGACTCACTTGAATTGGCCACCCAATCCTCGAGGAATATTTCCCAAGAGTGTCAAAAACATGACTTTTCAAAACATGGGTAACACTTCTCAAATACCCTAATCTACCACCTATGGTAGGCATGATCTTGAATATACACATGTTTCAGGTAGTAACTAAATGGAACAAGACCTGTGTAGTGTGGTAATCTGTAGCTTACCACACTTTCCATTATTGATAGAACTAAGGGGTGTGATGCCCTTTTAAGAAAAGGTTAGATACAGACAGTGCATCAAACAAACACTATAGGAATTCATTATACAGGCACTAGTTTACGATTTTAATAGAATGTAAATAAGTAATTATTGTTGAACTCGGAAGAATATTCTGAACTATAATACAAGAATAAGCTCTCGCAGCATGGTACCAAGAGTGGCATAGTTATTCGGGATTATTACTTCCATACTGCTATTGATTTGGAAGATAGATCATGAAAAGCTAGTATAAACAATAACTAGAAGTGAAAAAATAAACAAAGTTAAGTTGCAACTTAAAATTTTCAAGGCGTGGACAGACGACAGAGACAGCACCAGAAAACTTATTCACTGAAGTTAAATCAACAGATAAAATTCTAATACCCCCATCTTAATATGTGATAAAAAACATACTATAAAAAATACAGAAACACATGTTAATGCTACATTTTTAATAGGTTTCCTTATCATTCATGTGCAACAACTTAAACGACACTAACCATGTGCTGTCCAGATTTAGATTATTTGATTTTGTAATTAAACATACAGAGGAAATTCAATGTCCATTTGGATGAACCTACCCAATAATCCTCAACTCAAACTCATAAATAAAGATTGAATTGAACTTATGGAACCTGTCATGACCCTGTATGGTCCATGGCCTTGTTGGGCCATGGCAGAATCTTGAGGTGCCCCTAATCTTTATTCTAGATGAAAGCCCCCATCACAAATAAAGACAACCAAACAAGTATCAACAGAAACGTAACACTAGTAGACTAAAAAAAGAGCTAAAGAAAATCCATGAATGCAAATCGATATATTTACTGTTGCTCTACTATATAAACAGAATATACAATTAAAAACCAAATAAGTGTTGTCAACTAGCAACCTAATCAAGATGGAAGCAATTACCTGTTCCATTGGGGAAACATCGAACACATCGTGTTTGATATTTCAAAGAAGAGTCTCTTTTTTGCTCAGGTTGAGACATATTGCGCAGGTCATAAATATTTACATGCCTTCCTGCTGTTGCAACAACCAACCTGTTTCCTACTAATGAAAGAGAATATACACGTTCAGGTTGAGCATATGTCCCAACAAGGGTACGCTCTGGTCCACTCACTCCTCTCGGATCCCAGCATTTTACAGTTTTATCCCAGCTGCCAGTGATGACTTGACCTAAATAAAACAAAACAGACAGTTTAATTCTGACTCATTAGGTAGTCACCTATAAAGCACAACAGATCAAGTACAATACGTAAAAGAACACCAAGTGCATTAAAAGGGCTTTTCATTATTTAACTTCAACCCCAGAGATTTATTGAAATTACAAAAGAGCATTTCATCAGCTTAGGAAATTTCATTCAATTTAATAACATAATTCCTGGAATAGCAAGGGAACAACTATTCTCACATGACCATAATCATCATAGAACAAAGACATGCCACGATTGGACAGAGATTGTGATTAAATTGAGGACCGTGCATAGTTAATTTGCTGAGAACTGAAATACTACAAAACATTCCAAGACCAAAAAAAGGAAACAAAAAAATAGGTATCAAATACATGACTCTGACAAGGACATCTGTACAGTCCTCAACACAAATTGAGAGAGAAAGGTTTTAATGCATTGTGGCATTGTAAAGTGTAAACTATGCAGAACCAAATCCATGTAGCAGATCAAGTAATAGGAAAATAACTTCTATCTTGGCCTAGGATTAAATACTTTCAAAAACATAACTGCATAACTATATATAGTGTTTTCGGAATTCAAGTACGAAAATAGTTATCAATGTGTTCTATTTATAGAAAACGTAATTTTTGACTGCATCAGGCTGCACAAGTACCTTGCAGAAGAAAAGTATAAGCTAGAACAGAAATCCAAAAGCAATTCAGTAGGAATAAAAGTACCCGCAGCATAAGAGTATTCCACGCAACGAACCGGACCATCATGCCGCCCCAAAACATCTTCCTTGGACGAGCTAAATACCAACCTGAAATAGATAATTTGGGCCTATTACTTGTCCTCGCAATCACATATATAAAAGAGAAGGCAAATCTAAGCGTATTTGCATGCAAACTAATTATGGAAAGAAGTAACATTCAATAATCAGATCTTCAGGTTTCCATGTAAGTGGATCCCAGGCAATGCAAATGTAAGTTTATTTACAAGCTACCAATTATGGAACTAGCAGCATTCAATGAAACAAACTGGGCACAATGATTGTCCATCTTACATGAAGAACTCGATTACATCAAACAATAAACATAAAACCAAACACTTACATTTGGTTTCATGAACAGTTGGAAACATTTAGAAGGACAGGACCAGATATTTCCCAACTTAAATATAATATAAACACCACACAACTGCCATTCTAGAACAGAATCCTGTCAGTAGAAAACTGACAGATTTCTCTTTCACTATAAAATTCTTTGGTTAGTTATTGCTATGGACAATCCTCAGTGGGAAAAAAATCAATAGAGCGCAACAAGTCTCCAGATTTTCTCCTATATGCGAAAAGAAAAAGAAACATAAAAATCTACTGGGCAGCAACTCGCAAAAAATAGTGGATCTATTTTCAAAATCATATGCACCACAAAAGACATTTCAACAACAGCAAATAATATTATTCTCTAACTACATGTGACACAGCATACCTATAGCATCACTCTCACCAAATGGATAACAAAAGTGTGATCTCAAAGCACACAGCCACATGCAATTTTGCAGCTGCAGTGCTTGTGCTCCACATCACCAACCCGATCCCCAAATTCGATGCAGCGCAAGGTGTGGAATAAGGCAGGAATAATGGAAGAGACAGATATAACACATAAAAAAAACAGCTCACCTCCGCACGGTGTGGTCGGCTCCGGCGCTAAACCCCGAGGAGTCGTCGTGGAAACAGCAGTCGAGGATGGCCCCGGCGTGCACGAACTCCCCCTTGAGCACGTTGGCGTCGGCGTCGTAGAGCCGCACCGTCTGCAAGCCCAAGCCCAAACCAGGTCAGATCAGCGGGATCAAAGAGCTAGGGTTTAACGAGCGGGGGAATGGGGGTAACGGGAGAGGAGGCGGCTGACCACCACTGACCTTGTCCCATGAGGAGACGAGGAGGTTGTTGCTGTGGTTGGAGAAACGGAGGTTGGAGATCCCGTCGGCAGGCGGGTTGGCAAGCTCCTTGCCGCTGCCGACGGCAGCTGGCGCGGCGGCGGAGCTCATGGTCGGCGGTGGCAGAGGAGGAGGAGGGATCGGACTAGGGTTTGGGGCGTAGGAGGCGGAGGAGGGGATTCGAAATTTGAACGCGCAACGAGCGAGGCGAGCACGAGGGACTGAGGGAGAACGATGGATGGGCAACGGACGGTTTGTTATGTTAAAGAAACGGAAATGCTTGGGGAAATCTTTCTGGATTCCAATTTTGAACCACGGCCACGGGAAGCGGAGTGGGGGGAGTGGCTGGGGAGGAGCAACTGAGGGAGATGATGAAGCGAGAAGATTCCACGGCGTGGGCGTGCCTCTTCCCGTCAGATCGGCGTGGGCCGAGACGGCAACTGTCTTCCTGCCCTTGCTGGGCCGCCCATGCATTTCGTGAACATTTTCTCCTTTCTCGTTTCGTTTTGGCATTTTTGTTTCAGAGAAGGACCTCGCTCCGCCTCTTCTATTGCCACAGCGTTGACTTTTTTTTGAAAGGCCACAGTGTTGACTTCAAGGCGCCACGGCACCGTGATGATTGATGAGATATTGGGATTTGTGAAGATGGGCAGTCAAATAGGTTCACTGGAGAACTCGTCCAAGCTAACTTTAACCCGCTAACAATTAATTTTGAGCCTATGTTCTCTTTCGGTCCTGTTTGATTGCATATTGAATTATACTTCAAGCAGGTGAATATTTCAAAGTTTTAATCCTAATATGCATATGTGTCTTATGAAAGAGAATGAATGGAGTAAACTTTAGGTGACTAAACTTCAATTCACAACTTTAGTCAACTAAATTTTAGTTTTGGCTCTGTTCGGCAGGACTTATTTTGGCTCCGGCTGATTTGTATGGCTAATTTGTTGTGATAGAAAAACACTGTTTTCTAGCTGAAACGGTACGGCTGATAAGTTCAAGCGAACAGAGCGTTAGATGATCCAAACAGACCACCTAAAGTTTAGTCTAACCCAACTAATTGTTAGTCCCTTATGTCATCCAAAGATAGACCTAAAGTCCAAACCAACTAGCTATTAGTTCCTCCGAAGAGGAAATGGCAAAAGAATTTGATAAGCACAATGGGAATGTTGGCTTCCATATCTGGCCTAGGGAGCAGAGGTCACCCGTGGTGTAGCTAGGATTTAGAGCAAGGGTGATCCATCAAGATATACGGAGTAATAAGCTAAATGATAGGGTTTCAATATGCAATTTCATGATATTGGATAGCACATCATTATAGTTCTAATATTAGCCAAATCATAGCTAGCTAGCAGTATGTGACGCAGACAAAACAAATCGTACGTCTGGGATCAATTACCTGAGCCAGGCAATTTCTCATCAAAACAGCAGCCGCAATATTAATATGCTTCGTGCCTCCATGTAAAAACATCAGGCACCTCTTAAAGCTAAACTTCTAGCACATGAAAATGGAGCGCCTCATGTGTTGCGTGTGCCTCCATTTGACGTCTCCCATAGTCCCATGTGGCTTGCTTCTCTTGTGCGAAGGGAACAGCGTAGTACGGCGGGCATCCTGGTCTGTTTGCTTGATCCTAAACAAAAAAACTTGGATTCACATTCACATAAATGGCTGAATTGTTCACACAACTCTTCTGCAGAGTGGATCGAGACCTCTATGCTATTCACAAAGCAACATATTCCACAAAACAACTCTTCTGGAGCATCCATGAGCCGAATAGAATTGTAGAACTGTGATTGAGTAAACACAAGAGCCTCCTTTGAGCATGCATAAGAAAATCCTTCATACTAGACAGGGCATATGACCCTTTCTATAAAATTGAATATTTCGAGCAAACAATATCAAACATGACGCTGTACAAGTGTTCCTCGGTATGAAGTTGTATTGTGATATCCATCAGTACCCAGCAATACACTTCATCATTGCATTAATACCATCATATAGGCCACTATCTGGTAACAGTTCGACTATACAGAACTCCAGGCAGCTGGGTAGGTTCTATCTGTGTTGCTCGTAAGATATTCTGTTTCCTCTCCTATGCAGATTGCAGAAATAATTTTGAAAGTTAATAGTATAATTTCACTGTAATAAAATATGATAGAAAAAGTATATGCTCAAAATTATGACAGTACAATTGCAAGCAAATAATTAGAGATGTAACATAATTTCCAATCCTTGTCAAACTACTATGGTCCAGCTAAAAGACCAAAGGAAAAACGATGGAGAACATCCATAGTAAGCATTTGCTGGGTCCACCAAAATGAAAAGAGTGCTCTTCAAAGTACAGCTAACCTGGTCTAGACCAGGTTCTTTGTTCGACTTCAGAGATCTTCGTTACTTTTCTTCAGATCTACAGATTTTCTGAATGCAAACAGATAATTCTTTTAAAGTTCTGACCATGTCTAGATGGCTATCTAAACAAAATACGAGTACTGGTGATTGGTTTTAGATCAACTTAGAAATGATACAATATGATATGTCCAAAGCTGGTAATGTACCTCTGAAAGTTGTGCTGCCAAAGCTGGTGATTGGTTTTAGATCAACTTAGACTAGACCAGGTCAGTAACGGAAGGTGAGATCAGCGGGAGGGGTAATGTACCTCTGAAAGTTTAGTAACTCGTATGTCACTGCAACATAACAAAATGAATAAAAAGAAGCAAAAGGTCAGATAGAAAGCTATGATGAAAAGCACATATAACAGGATCGTTATTTGTTACCACTTCCTGATTAGCAGAAGACAAATCGAAGAAACCAAAGCCAATAGGGAAGGGCCCAGAGGAAAGGGACCGAGATGCCTGTGGGAGGTGACATTGGCAATTTCCTCTATGCCCTGTCAATCCAACTGCAGCCAGCGTTCTTCGAAATTCTTCTGTCATGCATCATACCCCTAATCTCTGCTGATTTGTCCCAATCCCCAAGAGCTGCGAGTGTGCTTGACAGCTGCACATACAAACTAGAATGCGGTGACACTTCTGTTTCCATCAGTTTGTTTGCAACCTTGTGCAACAGAGCCTCATTGCCCTGGGCTTTGCATGCTCCAATAATAGAAGTCCAACTAATTGAATCAGCTTTGATAGGCATGTTCTCTATGAACTCAACTGCTTCATCCAGTCGACCTGCTCGGACCAACAGGTCAGTCACACACGCATAATGCTCAGCTGATGGACTCACGCCAAAATCTTCCTTCATCCGGTAAAACCATCTCAGTCCCTCTTCCACAAGCCCAGAATGGCAGCATGCAGAAAGGACACCAACAAATGTCCGTTCACTTGGCTTCAGATCCCTACTTTGCATTAAATTTAGAAGTTTCAGTGCCTCAAGTCCATACCCGTTAAAAGCATAACCTATAAGCATTGAGTTCCACAAGACTTCGTCTGGATTATCAATACCACTGAAGATCCTGCATCCATTGGCCAAGTTGCCACATTTGCAGTACAGGTCAATGAGCGAGGACGCTACAATATGGTCAGACTGCAGGCCAAGTGCAATAGCAAGACCAAAAATCTGCTCCCCAAAACTTATAGAGCAGATGCTGCCTGATGCACTCAGAACACTGGATATAGCTACATTGTTAAGCTGCAAACCAAGCCGATACATCTCACAGAACAGCTCCATTGCATCAAGAGCATGCCCGTTTTGGCTGAACCCAACAATCATAGAATTCCATGAGATGACACTCTTGCAAGGGATCATATAAAAAACTCTTCTAGCATCATCTATTTGGCCACAGTTTGAGTATACAGTGATCATTGAGTTGAGCACAATGGTGTCATGATGCCTAAGTTCACTGAAAGATTGGCAGGCATCTGCCCAGCGGCTGCATTTCGAGTAGAAGTCAATGAGAGCACTTGCTGCTATCAAGTCACTGACAGCTCCACTCTTTAAAGCACAAGCATGCGTCTGCTGCCCAGGCTTCAGCATGCCTAAAAAGCCACACATATTCAGAAGAATGGCATAAATTGAAGAATTAGGCAACATCTCTGACCGCAACATCCTGACAAAAAGGACAAAAGCACTATCTCCATGATAGGCAGGGACACAGCCACTGATAAGAGAATTCCATAGAGCAACGCTGGGGTTCTCCACCTTGTCAAAAAGGCATAACGCCTTGTGCAACTGTCCACAAGATGCATAGCCATAGACCAGTGCGGACAGTGAAAATTCATCCACATGTTTTAATCTATCAAGAACAAGGCGAGCAGAGTCCAAATCCCCACACTTGCAATACATGTCAATCAATGCGCAAGCCAATACCGAATCGATTTCTGTCTTGGCAACCACCAACCGGGCGTGAGCTTGCCTCCCAATTTCATACTTCATCCGATCAGCACAAGCGCCAACCACTGTGGTAAGCACAAAGGGGTCATTCCATGGCGAGATCACATCGGAATTGCGTTGCGAACCTATCCTCTTGAGCAGAGCAAATGCCTCATCCACTCGGCCACAGCGGACAAACCTATGCAAGACAGCGTGGCAAGCCACAGCATCCTTCACGGGCATTTCTTCAAGCAGCTCGCCCGCAGTGTCAAGATCCCCAGCACCAGCCAAGCCAGTTATCACCGCATTCCAGGAGAAGGTGTTCCTGTCAGGCATGGAGCGGAACACGCGGAGCGCCGCGCGGTGGTCTCCGGACTTAAAGAGGGCGGTGATGAGCGAGTTGTAGGAGCAGCAGTTCTTCGTGGGCATTTCGTCGAACAGGCGGCGGGCGTCGCGGGAGTGAAGCGGACAACCGCGCACGTACATGAGGAGGACGGAGTTGGTGGGTGGGAGGGAGGAGGGGACGTGGCCGGATTTGAGGAGAAGTTGGTGGAGCTGCCGGCCGGCGGCCGCGCCGCAGGAGCGGAGGAGCTGGATGCACGAGGGGACGTCGACGGCGACGGCCATGACAGGCCAGCGACTCTTAACTTGGGGAGAGGACGGGCATTACCTGCACGCGCCTCGAACGTGCTGGCCGCCGCCGTGCCCTGCGCCTCTTGACTCGCCTCGCGCACTGCCCCGCTGGACAGGACAGCTCCTCGCCAGCGCAGCCTCGCACGTGGTCTCCCCCGCCACCGCG